CGATTTATCTCCCGATAGATTTTAACATTTAATACTCACAAACCTCCATCGTTTTGGATTGACGGACAAGGAAAATGTTTTTTTTCTTCTTCTATAAAATCAACAACAAAACAAAAAAAAATAACAAAAAAAAATGGGGGGAAAAATTGTTTCAGGTTTTCATATCAAGAAAAAAAGATGTACCATTGAAACAATGACTATTTTTAAAGTAAGATAAGAACATTACATGAGCCTGAACAAATGAACATAGAACTAATTACGTATTATGATTTTGTAAGTATTACCATGTGATGTTTATAAATAGTAATCGAAACATAGTAAAAAAAAAACGAAACACGTTTACAACAACAATAACAACAAAATCAACAACTTACTAAGTAAAAAGAAGTAATTGAAAAAAAATATGTCATTATCATCTCGTCATTACCACAAGCAATGGAAAACAAAAATAATTATCACCTCATTATAAACATCAATTGATTAGTAAATAAAAAGACAATTTCAAGACTAAGATAACCGATTTTCATGTGATAAAAGAAAATCCACCCGCACCGAATATTTCATTTACGGTAAAATAGTTGTGTTATCTCCTCTCTCCCTATTTCCATCATTCTTTCTGACCTTTTTTTTCCTTTGACTCATCTTCAATTATCTATAAATTGGAAGCTGGAGCAGTTGACGATGAGTCAGTGATTTGAAATCCTGGCAATTACTTTTTAGTTCAAGCCATAAATGAATAAATCAATTTTAAAATTAACTGTTGTCGGGCGCGTGCGTGTATCGTAGATAAACGATCGTCGATAATAGTATGGTAATGAGTTTTCTTTTATTTGTTTATGATCGAAATCATGTATAACAACGATGACAACGACGACGAGCACGATAGAACTACACATGTGTGTGTGTGTCTCTGTGTGTGTGTGTGTGTGATTTTGGCAGATTCGTTGTGAGGTAGACACACAGATTTGTGGTCACAGTGTCAATGATAATTTCATCGCGAGATGATGTGAATCGCGTGCGAATCCAAACAAACCAACCAACAAAACAATTAAACGTACGTTTTCATTACATTGCGCACGTATTTAACTAAAGTTGCATGTCAACAGTCGGTTATCGCATAAAGTGAAATGCATTGACAAGAGCGCAACGGTAATGCTCACTTTTCGTTTATTGCTGTTTTACATACTCATTTCAATCGATATATACATTATATTATTGTGAATTTTGTGTGTTTTTGACCTTTAAATAACATTTTTGCATGTCATCAAATTCAAAGCGAATATTGAATATTGGTCTGTGTGGTGTCGGTGAATACCGTTCATGTTCATTTTGTAGATGTAATTAAAATACAATTGCGATGACATTTTGTAGTTATGCGTGTTGTTGTTGTTGTTGTTTCAAATGGAAACGTCAGAAAAATGTTGTGTTTGTTCTTGTATGAATGCCGCACATGTTTTGTTACAATTAAAGATTATTTCAATTCATGCGATGAAATTCCTTCATTTTGTACGCATTTTTATATGCACTGATGGGTCACCGATGCGATTCGATATTATTCGTTGAAATCCAAATTGTTTTGTAGTGGACGGAAGGATATTCCAATTTTGCAACTGCGTTTCTCCGGCAAAAACATCTGTTCTATTTTCGATTTTATATCTTCATCTTGTTGTGAAATTACATTTTTGAAATACACACAACATTATATTGACTAGCCGCATTCTAAAAATATCACAATCCGAGGCATGTGCTCGGTTGTCTGTAGCCAATTTGTTTTGTCTGGTCAGCTCATAAGCCGATATTTCCGAACGCATCCGATTGTTAAAATATTCAGTTCATATTGTCGGTCCACATAACAAGTAAGGTTTCATTTTTTTTTTTTTGGTAACATGACCAAATCATGTTGATGATTCGCATTTAAACATTTTATTTCCATCTTTGTTTTAGTATCATTTAAATTCAATTGAATTTGCTATCATTCGAATTGCGAATTGATTTGAGATTGCTGAGGTTACGATCTAAACAGTTGTCAGAGTGAAAATCAAGAATCGAAAAACACGTCGGATATAAATGAGTTCATAAATGTTGTAAATTGTGATGGAATAAATACTCTTCAATTTAGCCATTTAACAAGGCTATAGAAATATTCACATTGAATCAATCTCAATTGATTTTATTATCAACTACTAAAATTACTTCCATGTCGATTGGAATGCGTGCTTTTTGCTCTCTCTCCTATATTTCATTCCATAAAACTGATTAACACTGTTGAAATACAGACACACACTATTTAAACTTTGTTTAATATTTTCGCGATAATTCAGCATATATGATATGTATCAGTGCCGAGTTAGCCATATGGCAAATGAAGCAGTTGCCTCGGGCACCACGTTCTTGGGGGCACCACAAGCATGGGATTTTTTTTTTCAATAATCTGAAACAGAAAACACGCAGCCAAAAATGGGCCCTAAAAAATGTTTTGGTGCCCCAAAAATGGTATTTCCAAAAAATAATTTTGCTCGCTACCGCTCGCATTCGATATGTACGTTCATTTTATCAATAATTATTTGTATATATAACGGGAAAAAATTGCAAGGGGCACCAAAATCATTTTTGCCTCGGGCACCAAATTTGGTTAACTCGGCACTGATATGTATAATTTGCAAATTAACCAATATTCATTTGAAATCAAAGCATTGATTTGCACAGTTGAATTCACTGTAAAATGCCCAATTTTTGTGTGAATCGTTAACTACAACATTTGATTTATTTTGATTTCATTTTATTCATTCATCAAACTAACTGGCCACCAAATTGTTGTTATTGATTAGGTTAACTCAGTTGTAGGCTATCAGTTAGTTTCAATCATTCGAAATCGAACTCGAGATGAATGATAACATGTGCTTTGCGGTGCGATGAGAACAGTTGCTTGTTGTAAGATAGCTTATCGACAGCTGTGGCAGTCATTGAATGAACCGTAATGAACCGAGATTCAATTAAAACCAGTATGAGTGAAGTGTGTGCGTGTTTATTTGTTTCGCATGTGATTCATATACTATGATGCAATTGGCATGAGTGCAAATAACCCCAATAATAACGACAAATATGATGTCGATACGTGTGTTTAAAATTTTCGGCTGATTACATTGAATGAATATTCGCCAAAAATAAAAACGCTCTTTCAAAAACAAAACATATTATTATTTTACGATCAATTGGAACTGTCATTGTAATTTAAACGGTTATTCCGCATGGAAGAAAGAAATTCATAAATCAGATTAGATTATTTATGAGCGGGAAGACAGCGCGCACTCTGAAAGCAAAGTGACACACATTTTGAAGGGGAAAAAATGTGAAAAGATAAACTTTTTGATTGAAACTGAGCAATTAGTTGAGAAGAACGAAAACGTGCAGCGAATTTTTGCACTACCTCATTGAACCTGACTATTTTACACAGAGATTACTATGGAATACTTTTATTTATATGGGATAGGAATATCGCATGAAAATAACAGATATTTTTCACGCGTTGCGTTCAGCGAAACGCATAAATACACAATAGCGATTCTGCACACACAGAGTCGCTGTTTTTTCGTTATACTCTTCACACTTACGATGAGCTGCGCGGAGCGTGCATGCACATGTTTCACTCACTTCTTTCTTTGAACACTCTTCGTGTGTCAACACAATGTTTGTGTGTGTATCGCTTGTGCCGTCGTTTGTAAACGACATCAATGAGCTGGGTACGAAAAGTGTCGATCGAAAGAAAAGAGCAAAACATATAAATGCACGTTTACAAACGACGGCACAAGCGATACACACACAAACATTGTGTTGACACACGAAGAGTGTTGAAAGAAAGAAGTGAGCGAAACATGTGCATGCACGCTCCGCGCAGCTCATCGTAAGTGTGAAGAGTATAACGAAAAAACAGCGACTCTGTGTGTGCAGAATCGCTATTATGTATTAATGCGTTTCGCTGAACGCAACGCGTGAAAAATATCAGTTATTTTCATGCGATATTTCTATCCCATATAAATAAAAATATCCCATAGTAATCTCTGATTTTACAGTGTCACTGAAGTTGTGATGTTCTTCTGACATACTAGACGCAATTTTGACGATTTTTTTTTTAGTTTTCAGAGATATGATATTGGTCACTGAAAATTGCCATCATTTATTGAACCAAAGAAGAAAGAATCATTTCGAAGAAAAGCGGATGAATGATTTAAAGAACACAAAAGCCAGCCGCTGATTTTCTTTACCTAAGTGAAGACACCGGTAGTTGAATTTGTTTAAAGAAGCTTGTCATCATCGAGAAGAAGAAATTAGAAACAGCAGAAGAAGAACAAAATGTTGGAAAACTGGCAAAAAGTGTCTTTTCTGTTGTGTATCTATGGATTTGTACGTGAGTTACGTCCATCGGAGCCGTTTGCTGTGGAATTTTTCATCAATTACCGGAACGTCACCAACGATGAATTGACAAATTACTATTTTCCCCTCGGTACCTATTCGTATATGTTGCAGTTGATTGTCACTTTCTTAATTACCGATATAATGAGGTAGGTTCGTGCTCGCTTGCTCATTCGCTTCCTCTTCATCTATCTTATTTCGTGCATTGAAATTGTTGTGTGTTTGCATGAATAAATTATCGTGATTCAAGGTGTTCCAGCACACAATACAATATCGGACACCGATAACAATGCATTATAAGCCATGAACTGTAGAGATTTGATACTCATGGCGCCCCCTACCCCCGTAGTCTCGCCGCAACTGTCAGATTCTGTCAGATTTGTAAAATACATTTTAAGTACCTATACAATTGAATAAACACCAACTGAAATGATTAGTTTAATATAATACGCATGGGTGCTTGCTATTACCGACTAATAAATTGTAAAATTTGAAAGAATAAATTCATTCGTTTTTTTGGAAAAATTCCGACAGTAAAACATAAATGATAAATCAATCTATGACGCATTCACTTTGAATACACAATGAACAAATCTCATTACTCCTGAATTACATTACCTTCTTTGGCAACGTTTGGAAACTTCGTGTAAACAATAATGGAGTATATCGACACTACATTTCTCGCTGTTATTAAGACATTTATTTCTGATAAATATTTTGAAATAAAAAGAAATACATTCTGTATCAAAATGTATTAAATTTAAAAACTTTGTTTTTATGCGTATGTACATAACATACATTGGGTATGAACCGGTATGAACAGCTGTAATGGCGGCCATTTTCCTTTTCACCGCTTTTGACAGTTCATATTCATATATATTACATGCCAGAGATCATTTTGCATTCTGTTTATTCATACGTTTTTCAGGAGTAATGTAAATTTCATGTCAAAATAAAAATGTGCTACCCAAAGCACGTTTTTGAATTCACTGTAGAACAATTTTATTTGCTAAGTTGACATGCAATTTTCATTTCTCTTGAATAATATACAAGCAAGCTAAATGATTTGAATAAATTTATGTAGTCAAGAGCTTCATTTATTTATAAATTCGGAATAAATAAATGAAACTAGAGTATTCAGAAGTAATGGAAATTTTCATGCAAATTGATTTATGTGTATTCCAACTTGATTTGTTTATTATATTTATTTTATTTTATTTCAATGATTATCACATCTTCAATGTGTCAAAAGGAAAATGGCTGCCACTACAGCAATATACAGCAATGGCGGTTCGTACTTAATGTGAGTTAAGTACGTACACAGAAAAACAAAGTTTTTAAATTTAATAAGAATGTTATTCATTTTTTTTAAATATATTTATTAAAATAAATAATATTAAGAATAAATAAATGCTTCAATAACATTGAAAATTCATTTAGTATTCGATTTTCTACCGAAGCAAATTCAATTTCATTTGGTTGATCGAAGTTACCAAATGTGTCAATGCATTTCAGGAGTAATGAGATTTGTTCATTGAGATTCAAAAGGGAATACGTTTGAAGTTTATCATTAGATTTCTACCGAAAAATTAAATGAATTTATTTTTTTCATGTGTATTTTTTACAATTTATTAGTCCAATGAATATATTATATTTTGAATTTATAAAATGTGGAAATTTAACAATTTATTAACACGGTCTTCCTAGCGTTCTCCAAATACTGTATTTAACGAAATTTAACCAGATTTAGAGATTACGAGAGATTACTTAAAATTCATGTGAGTTCGTAGTAATGACACTAGGTACACGTAGTCATGACACTAGGTACACGTAGTTACTCACAGTTCATGGCTTATAATGCATTATGTCTTCACGTCGTTTGATTTTTTTTTTCTTTTTCTTCCCCAAACACACACACACACAACCACTTCTAGATACAAGCCGATTATAGTGTTTGCTGCATTCATGGGAATGTTGTTGTTCGGTTTGTTGGCATGGACATCAAAAGATTTCATCCCCATTGCGCAAGTATCGTACGGAACGTTCATGGCTTGCGAAATTGCCTACTACACATATATTTATGCAAAAGTGGAACGCTCCAAATATCAATTAGTGACGGGGCACACGCGAGCTTCAATTCTCACTGGCCGATTTATCGGCTCCGTACTCTCACAATTGCTCATCTCATTTGGTTTGATGAATTACGAGGAATTAAATTACATTTCGTTCGGATGTAAGACGTAATACATACACAAGCACACACTTGTGTATTTTTCATTTATTCTCACGCTGGACCTACGGTTTTTCCCTACCTATTTTTGTTTCTTCCATAAAATTCCTTTTTCCCCAGCACCAAAATGTATGTATAATATGATTGTTTCTCTAATTTTCGTCCTCTTTTTTTCCGTAGCTCAATGTGTTTCGCTGATATTTGCGCTTCTGTTGCCGTCAGTAAGTGTTAGTTTGTATTTTTATTCGAACACAGGCGAGAATGTGAATGCGAATGCGAATGGAAATGGAAATGTTAATTGTCACGTAAATCTTGCGCATACAAATGATGATGTGGATGAAAAGCATTTGATGAAAATGTCAGCCATGAATGGCGACGACGGTGGTGACGGCGTCAAAAACCGTGACTGTGATTCGAGCACCATCAAAAAATCGAATTCCAAACCAAATTGCGATGCAAGCAGAGGCGAAATGCCAGCAACATTTTCATTAACATTGGCAATCCAGCGAATTGTCAACCACATAAGAACATCATACACGAATACGACCGTGATTCAGTGGAGCATTTTGTGGGCGATGTCAATGTGTGGATTTCTGCAAGTATGAACATATTCACTCTCACTCGACCGCCCCGTTCTTTTTTTCCCCGTTCATTCAATTTTATGCATGTTCCTGAATTTAATTTCGCACAGGTTCAATCGTACATTCAGCCGTTGTGGAAAGAAATCGATCCGGCGGAAACGGTGCTATACAACGGAGCAGTGGAAGCGTTAATCACACTCCTGGGAGCGATAGCAGCATTTATGGCCGGTTTCTTAAATAGCAAAAGTTTCAATCGATATGAAATTTGGATTTTAACCATTTTAATGCTTGTCGAAGGCAGTTTACTTTTGTGGGCCGCACTAACAACATCTTTATGGTGTTGTTACGGTATGTACGTGATATTCGGTATGATTTATCAATTTATGATCACCGTCGCCAGGTATGACACTCTCATCGTTATAAATTAGCCAATTCTCACTGGATTTCATTTAATTAACTTTGTTTTGGTCATTGCAGTGCGTCGGTTGCAAAGAAATTGCATGAAGAATGCTTTGCCCTGATATTTGGCATAAATACACTAATCGCATTGATTTTACAATCATTGCTTACCTTCATTGTGATCACCAAATACAATCTGATGCTACGTACTCAATATCAACTCTATTCGTACGTATTTTTTACGCTGGCAACGATTTATGGTGTGACGGGTGTCGTCAAACTCCTTTTCCAACGGAGAAAATCTTATTCACTCAAGTGTTAGCTGTTAGCTTATGATCATCTACTTAGCCATTTTCGTATTTGGGATATTGATTTTCGAATATCTATCCATTGAACCATTACATTTGTGAAGAAATATCACACACATGTGTGTATGTGTGAGAAAGAGATATTAGATATATATATATATGTATATAATACCAAATCTTCTGAATCGGATTGAGATGAATTTCAATCAAAATTTGATTGTAAATGCCTCAAAAACAAATGAACGAAGGAAAAAAAACACATATAAAAGACACAATCAAAATCGATGTTCGATAAGTATAAATCATTTTACACATCAAATTTGTTTTATATATAGTATATTAACTTCGGTTTTTGTATCAATAAGAAAAGGAAGAAGAAGAAAGATTGAACCACTGGAAATAAAATAGAAGAGAAAAATGAAAAAAAATGACAAGAAAATCACAAATTTGTTTGTTATTGCTGCTACCACCTTCGAACCATCTCCTGTCTGTGTCGATTGAAGCGAAGAACGAACGTATACGCACACATAGAGCAAGCGAACACAGAGAACAGAACAGAGAAAACGCCGGGACTAATGGTTGTGAACACATGAAGCGAGTACCCTTTTTTTCTCTCTTTCGATTGGAATTAATGGTGCCGTTATGTTGTAAAAGTATCAAATTTCTAAGATTTATGTATTTATGAGCTGGTAAGATGGAGCGAAAAACGAATGTTATACACCATAAACAATCATGTGTTTTCGGGCCATCGAGCGCCAACCGGCAAATCCGATAAAATTGGCGAAGCCAGAGAATCAATTCTCGGGGCCAGAAAGTGCGAGCGAGCGGGAGTTAGTGGGAACGAGAGGGTGAGAAAGAGAGAGAGAGTTGATGCCATTTGTTCAAGCGAAAATAAAATTGAGCCATTTCCATCGTGTGCGAAAACTCTGTCTCCGCAACGTTTGTTTTGACGAACGAAGAAAAGTTGTGTAAGTATAAATGAACAAGAAATAGAAGAAGAGAAAAAAATAAAATGAAATTTGTGTCATTCAGATTTGGATTTACACACAGTGGCATTTTATCGACATTTTTGTCGTTTTTGTAAATGCTGTTACTATGTGTGATCCTTTATCAAATTGTGAGATCTGTATGTGAAATTGGTCTTGGCATGACTGAATGTGATGTGTTTTCGAAAAGTCTTGAACTTGGTTTCGCTTGCTCGTTCGCCGTAGCTCCCTTTCTGCCAATAGTTTCCATTTTGTGCCCATTCATAATAATATTATGTAGATTGTGTAGACGCAACCTTGACCTCAACCAACCGAAACGTGTTTACTCTTACTCGCAGTAAATGTGTCAAACGAATCTATTAGTGTGGAGATTAGTCGATAAGATAAAATAAAATCGACAATATCGTTACATTGATGCCCGACACAAAACGATTCATTGTGTTCATAATGTATGCAAATTGGGGTCTGCTCTCTGGATATCGGCGCCAAAAACGCTAAAATGGATTGCTTTTAACTTGGAATAGTAATTAACGCACTCAAGAACTACAAGCATTTTGCATTATTTGGCACAAAACTTTTTATCGCAGATAACTTTTCCAAATGCTTTTCATTTCTATCGATCTGTTCGTAAGTTTTGAGCTGGTTGTCCACAAAGAGATGAACAAAAAAGACAGAAACCGACAGTATCATTTGAAGATTGGATACATGCTACACACAGTAATGTTTCACTAGTATGTGCTTAAATAGTTAATCTCCTTCGAAATGCGAAAAGGGCGCAATTTTGTGGCTTATGAAAATTAAAACGTACTTTTTCCACAACTTCCATCCGTACCAGATTGCTACCTCGGAATACGGCAGGTTGGGCTGATGAAATGGTGTTTGTTGGCTGGGTTTTCATTAAATTTTCAAGGCTTCATCGCAAATGATTGGTTGGTTGGTTTGATGGTTTGTTGGTTGCTTGGTGTGTGTAGTCTATATATACGTAGTATGTTTAAATAAGACTGACATTTTCCAGTCCCTGAGGGGAGAAATGTTGTCGTTTGGTAATCTCAATAACGGCATCTCACCGTGATTAAAGTCATTGTATTCATTTTATTAAAATTTATGCTGGGGAATTTATCTCACTATCTCGCTTTTGGGACATGTCTCCAGTTAAAAAAAAAAAGAAGAAAACAACACATTTTCCGAAGAAGAAAAGTGATATGTGTGTATGTATTTGGTTGTGACAATTCAACATTGAGCATTGTTCTAGTTCATAACTGTCATGATTACTTCTATCGCATCGATGTGTGTGTGTGTGTGTGTGTGTGTTTCATGCCATTGGGACACACAAACTGATTATTCTTTTTTATTATTTTCAATTTCCATCGTGCGCAATTGTCCAATTGTCAATTCAATAAATGTCAATGTGATACTTTTTCTCTTACGTGATAATCAGCCAACTAACAATTTACTGCTGTTTCTGGATCATCAAAGTCGATAAGAATGATGTACACAACGGGAGAAAAGAGTATTACGTCAATTTTTCATCATCCATTTAATTAATAATGATTTTTATTTGCTGTATGTTTGTCGCTTTAAAAATACACATCAACGTAGTGAGTGATTTTTTTTTCTTTCTCACTGTTTACATGAGGTTGATGAATCGCGCAATCACACACACGCACACCGCCATCGAAACGGTGTCAAAAGCAGCTTTAGCGGTTTACATATCTCTTGAACTGGATAAATAGAAATTAACCCAGTGACTGGTTCACAAGAGAAAATCGATATTTTTTTTTTTTAAATAAAATTATTACTTTGTTGGTGTTGTTCCTTTACTTTTGAACTAAACTTGGAATGATCGCATGACCTGCAACATTCAACCTGATTACTATGTCAAAAATGAAAAACCCTTTTTTTAATTAAGGTTTTCGGTGTTTATTTTATTTATCTTCTGGGTGCAGTGAGTGGGCAGGTGTTTGTGCTTCGGATGCTGCTAATCAATAATAAGAAAAATAAAATAAAACAAAAACAAACTGCAACAAATGACGTGCGTAAAATAAAAACCACACACCAGATTTATAGCATTGTACGTACTGCTCCGTCTGGATATGTTTAATTTCATAATGAACATTGTGTATACTGTGGAAAAACACTGTCACCACCATTGTCGGGATAAATGATTTGTCATTATTGTCATTACCATTCAATGTTTGTGCACGTCTGTATGGCTTTGTGTGTGTGTGCGTAAATAAATTGTTCGCTGAAAATGTCCATGCAATTAATTGTATCTTGCGTTCATAATTTCGCCCATTGTTTATTCAGTTCAGTAAATACATTAAATGAACGAAAATTTGTCCTTTCATTTTGTTTTGTGAGTTTCCATTGTAAAATAGCAGCAGCATTACAGATTCATATTTAATTGGAACAAGACTCCGGCTACCGACAGCTGTTGAGTGTCGGCCGAACATTTCTCAAAATGGTTATTCAATCCGAAGACGAAACGAAAATGCCAACCAACTGGCCTATACCTTCAATTATTATTGTTTTATGTGAGCACAAAGTGAATTTGCTCTTATGGCTTACCATTTCATCGGCAATGTTGACATAAACTTCAGCCAAACAATGTCCAAATATGTTAACCGATGCTGTCGTTTACTTAATAATTATTTCTGAGTTTTACTTTTTTTCTATTGGAAATGTTTGCGTTGCAACATGAGCTGAGCGCGCGTAACAGTCAAACGAATTCTGTTCTTCGCGGTTTCAAAAAGTGTACTTGTTAACAACAAAATGGATAAACACTTTGACAAAAAAAAAACCACGATTGATTCAGACGTAATTCAATGCCACTGGAAACTATTGGAATAAACTTTTTGCTGCCATTTTATAATTCAGCCTGTTAAAGTAGATGGGTAAAAATTACACCGGTATCAGTAGTGGATCGTGATTTAACGATGTAATTCGGAACAAGTTCAAATAATTACCATCGGTGTCGATGATTTAACAATGACGACATGACTATTCACTATTCACATATGCTTTTCAGCTGCGCTTTATCTCCTTTAATCCTTTCTAAAGAGGCAAGAGCAAAGAGTACGACCGTATGATGAAGCAGATTTACAAGAGACACAAAGTCGATCAAGAATATTCTTTTCCTTCTTGTGTATGTGTGTGAGTGAAAAGTTTCGTGAATGTTGGTATGCTGTGCACATTGGCAAACTTGCAAAGTTTCGTGCTCGACTTTAAATCAATTGGAAACAGTCTCTATATATCAAATTGGGTTCACTCACGAAACGTCGATATGTGTAACATGATAATGAGGATGTCAGATATGAGATAGAAAGAATAGAACGCCGAGAGTGAAATTCGTGATCGTTGTACTTTCATCTTTCACCCGATACTAAATCATGGTCGCGGGTATAGGCTGAATAAAACAAAGAGATTAAATTGTTTTTGTAACGGCTTCCCTATTTATGGTAACAAATGTGTGTTATCTGTTCTGGCTGCTGACCCATTTTTTTTCTTCTCTTAAATTCTAGCTTTATCGCTCACTCATTTTCTATATTCCGAATAAGATTCGATTTCAATGAATGGCATACCAACCATATTTCACAACTTAATCTAGTGCGTGCGAAAATAAAAGAAAATCTAGAAAAATCAAAAGTAGCGACGACTTAAACACCAAAGTTAGATGGCGAGATGTTTGCCAAGGAAACTCCAAATAAATCGAGAATCGATTAAATCAGGGCCCGATTTTTGCTTTATCTATCTTTATTTAATGCAAAATTGCACGGATTAGCCGATTTGAATATTATCGCGACTACAATGAAGCTCAAGTGAAGTTGAAATTAAAGCAGCAATTTTTGTTGTTGTTAAATCGCACAACGATTCAAAGATTAAAATCTGGAAATTCGGTTCAACAGCGCCCTGAACCTATTTTGAAGGTGGCTTTATGGAGTAAATCCATATAGTAAATATACAGCAGTACCTTCACTTTATACGCTGCGAATCGTTGAGTTTAACCTTTGAAAATATGCTATTTTCACACGGCAATGCTGGGAAAGAGGTAGTGTGTGTGTATGTGAGAGGGAGCGAGAGAGAATGAGAGACAACGCCAACGTATCCTTGGCATTTTTTATTAAGTTTTGCAATAGCTTCCAGCGATATCAAGTTTTCAAGATGCACATATGCTATCCCGTTGAATGCTCCTATTGAAAAACACTGTCGAGAGCAAGAAAGTTTTCAAGTCAATAGAATTAATACACACAGTTTTTGCCATTAAATTGAATCGAATCGAATGGATGGCAGTTAGCGTCTTCTTCACTCATTTTTTCCACTCTTCTTTCTCTTCTCTTCGCTGTTCATCGTTGCACGCTTGCATCAAAACGGTTTTCGATAGAATATAATATGCAGTTAAATCCGTGAAAATTCACTCCCAAGATTATCAACGCCATCGTAGTCGTTGACATTC